CGTACATTGAGCCTGGATTACCAGGTGGGAGACAGCTACTGTAACATGCATCACTTGTTTTAACTGATATAAAGGTGGACATCTGTGCTCAGACATCTTTAGAAATCACATCTCTGTCACTTGCTGAACAGAAGGTGCACAGACGCGTTTGTGTGCAAGAGAGAGGATGACTTAGTCCGCTCGTTCTTTTGGAACAACGTACTCTCTTGCCCTGAACATGTCTGTTGCCACGGTAACAGAGCAATATTTCTGACACCAAGGTGGGAATTGTAGGTGCTCATCAGACATCAGGTGATTGGCTCTGTGTCTCTGATGCACGTGAATAAAACATGACGATTGATTTGGCTCCTGGTCTTTGATCCTCTACCACTTTTTGCTTTCTAATTCTTTAATTCCTGTCTCGGTTGGCTCTGTGTCGCAGTCTGAGCAACTCTCTGCTCTTGTCTGTTAGCTCGCTGTGGCTCTGTCGCATTGAATCCTCCCTGTCTGACTGTGTGTGTGTGCGTCTCTGTTTCTGCTCTTCAGTTTCCCTCTTATATTTGCTGCAGTGCTTTGATTCGAGCTAGAACGCTTTAAGCCCTCAGTGGCAAAGAGAGGTCACACTTTCAGACACACATTGACACTCCGAGACACACTTTAAAGCCTCTGTGTGTTCAAACAAGGAACAAAATGCATCAGCTCTGTGCGTTTGTGCTGTTTTTGGAACCCGGGGCTAAAGCAGTTCTGTGGAGGAGTTTTAGTACTTAATGAGATCTCTCATCACATACACACACTCAATATAAACACATTCTTCTATCCTAGTCTTCATCTCACACATACACACTTGCATCAATACAGGGTGTCAGAGTGGCTATAGCATCAAAAGGACTTGACAGGGATTGACTCTGGAAGGGCAACAGGAAGTGATCAGTGTCGTGGATGTCCATTTGATGCATTCATTAGAAATTGAATTTGTCAGTGCAGCCGGCACACAGCATTGATCTGTCTGATTAATTAATGTGTGAATTGTTAGCCTGTCATTCTTAAGGTTGTCCATGGCTTTGTGATGTGCTGCTGTGCTAGTGTTTAATGAGGGGTCTGCGTTTGAGAGGAGAGTACAGGCAGGTGTGTCTCACTTCCTTTAATTTAACTACGTTCAGTACTGCAACACACATCCTGAATATTCGGCAGCATGCACACTGCGAGTTACAAAATCATTATAACATAAGGAATTCAGCAGAGCTGAATGCATTACCTGAGACATGCCGTGAGGGAAGTTTCTCTGACAGATTTTAGTCACCTGAAAGCCCCTGGCTCCTGGTCCTCAGGCAGGTGGAGAATCATCTTCACAAGCGATCTTTGAACACAGAGGAAGGCAAGTGCTCAGAATCCTTCATCTGAAAGTTGTGTGTTTGATACATCTATCACATTGGCTCAATCTATTTCATGTGTCTGGCTTGTTTTCAGTGATCAGAATCACTCAGTATAAAATCAAAAGTATTTTTCATCCAGGAAAAAAAAAAGTGCCTGTAGGGATCAGAACCTGGCTGTGCTGATTGGCAGGGAGCTTAGCAGCCAACAGAGCTGCCCATCCCGTGTGTCTTAGACACAATGTAGCCCAGCCTCCTCGCATATTCTGTCTTTATTCAAGCAGGAGGATTACAGCCAAGCGAGCAGCAAAGGGATTAGAGAGGAAAGTTGCAGCAGAGCCCTGTGGTCCCTGTAAGAAACTCAAGCACAGGTTAGAAAGTTGACGCCTTGGCCAGCTGCTGCTACACAGCCCTGCCAGGATTTCACAGAGCATCTCCACTATGTGTGCGACATGTAGACTTGCCAAGACTTTTCCAGCTCTCCCCAGCAGGTGCTTGATGAGCAAAGAGAAAGCCACAAAGGGGTTTTGAACTCTGGCACTCATTTATAGATTAGAGCCAGCAGTTATTAAGCAGTTTCAGTCTGGAATCCAAATGAGAAATTTAGCCCATGACCTTGGGACTGAGGGAAATGAAAATGTTTGCTTCTCTTGCGATGTTGGGACCCCATCAAAGCAAGTACTTGAGGCACCGTGTCAGAAAACAACAGAGAAATCATGACTATCTGCAACTTAGCTGACTGGAGGTCGACTTTTACAGTAGCTCAGAAATCTCAGTAAGATGTTATTAGGTACTGATGTGGTTATTGGAGATTCTTTTAAATTAGTTTTATAAAGTGCAATGAGTTGGATACACTTTCGATTTTCTGTTGCTGATGTTTTTGTGTTTTAATCAGTTATACACTCTGGTCTTGAGAAAATTTATTAACATCAGCTTTGAGGACATTTTGGTGAGTTTAAAATTTTTTTTTTTTTTTACAATTTTCTTACATTATAGACCAATCTTCAAATTAATAATCATTAGTTGTGGCCCTAAAGTGAATATTCTTGACTCTGGACTGTTGGTCAGATGACAGAAGCATCTTGAACATATCCCCTTAGGCTCCAGGGAACAGTGATGGACATTTTTTCCATTATTTTACACATTTTAAGAGACCAAACAATCTTTAAAACTAAATAACAGATTAAAATAAAACTGTTGGATGTGAAAAATGTTCAATTAAATAAATGTTTAATTGAACTTCTCACGGTACCTTTTAACAATAAATGTAATAGGTGCTGTCACTAGGCTGCTAAACAACTAATTATGTATGTTAATATGTGCTTACTGATGGCCATAGAGTGGACCCAACAGGGAATACAGCTAGGAGCTAGTTTAGCCTAATTTTCAAAATGTCTTTTTAAAGTTGTGCTTCACGCATCAAAAGATGGAACTGAATGTTCGTAACAATCCAATTTTCTCTTAATGACTTTATTTCTCCACTGCCAGGGAACACACTAATCTGTTATTGTAGATTAGTAGGCCTTCCATTAATGTGTTCATTATTACTGCATAAATATTCAACGGAAACACAAATGCTTCGACCACAAGGAAGCCACCAGAGGCCTCATTATGAGAGAACTTAAGATTCTTTTCATTGTTGCAAATGTAGGTTTAATGCTCATCATTCATCAATAGTGTGCATCTTGCCGACACTGTGACAGCATGTGAAAGCCACAGGAAGCCATTCATAAGTGTACTTCAATTGAAAAATAGAAGCTTTTATTTTTTTTTTAATCTCTGCAAGGGCACCGTCAGTTGTACAAAGGTTACGTCTCATAAAACAGGGAATTGTGTGACATCTGCTGTCTTAATTCAGTATTCTGACTAAAAAGCAGAAACTGAAGGACACGTGAGATGGAGGATTCGTGGAAATGTCATCTGAACCAAAAACCTGTTAAAAACAGGCAGTGCTGTTTTCAATGTTCATGTTATAGTTTGTTTCTTGTGACATCAGCAAACCAACCAAGATCATAGGTTGATCTTGGTTGGTAACCCCCCCGCCCCCGACAACCAGAATATAACAAGATGGCCCTGGTGATTTCAACTGACAATTAAGATACTCTTTCACCCTGGCCATAGCAACATTTCACTGAGCGGTGCATTGTTATTATTGATACTGAGCTTCCCCCAATCCATACAATGAGCTTGAGAATGTCAGCTAGTCTGCTACATCAATCTACCCACTGATCACACAGCTAACAGTGGAAGCGGTGGGCCGGTCGATAATGCCAGTTGAGCGACAGACTTGATTCAGTGTGGTTAATCAGTTCTTAATCAGATTTATTGAACCTTTTTAAAGATAGCAAGCTGTCAGGATAGATCCACATCCAGGCACAACAGGAATGTTTGAAAAGCACCAAACAAATAAAATCCCTCAACACATCCAGATACAAACTGAATTCTGATGAGCAGGGAGGGTGGATTGAGAGAATAATATAAGCATAGTTATGTAAAATAACCCGAAGACAATCCAGCATGCCTGTCACATTGTGGTAATAAGTGTGAGAAAACTGTACAGAGTAATTAAATTACTTGCATTAATCATCAGGGCTTTGGCTTGTGACAGAGCTCTTTTCACTCGAACATTTACTAGTGGAATGTAATTACTAGTTGGACGCATTCAGAAAGAGCTGCCATTTGACAGCTTGATAGGTAACAGGGGACACGTGGGTTTGTTCTTGAAAACCACAAACCAGAGCTGAATCTTTCTTGCAAAGGTGGCGAAGTCAAGTCAAATGACTTGACATGAGTCAGACCTGAGTTGCAAATGTGAGGACTTGCTTGACTAACAAGAATAAAGAACAATATAATGTGGATTCAAGGGTTATGTTGTTGATGACAGTAGTAAAAAAGAGAACAGCGGTGTGCCAAGTCTGCAGCAGTGACACAACCACCACAACATCCAACTTCATCTGCCACGACAAAACTCAGAGAAAGGTAAGCAGGTGGATGTGTACACTAGCTAATTTAATGGCTGGTCAAACATTAGCTAGAAAGCTGTATCAGTCTGAATCAGTCTTAAATACTTGATAACATTATCAGATCATCAGACTTTAAGACTTGATTCTCACCACAGTAACTTCAGACTTGTTTGTGACTTGCACATGTTTCACCTCTGCTTTCTTGCGTCCTTGTCTCTTGCTGTGCTCAGGGATCTCTGCTGTGGGAAACATGCAACACACTACAGCACAGATTCAGTTCAAGTTGACTTTATTTGTAAGCACATCTATAACAAGAACAAAGATCTCCTATTTATTACTACGTTTCCCTGTCTGTGCACTCCAGTTCTTACTCATTCCTAGAACTTGCCCCAACTTTGAAGAAATAAATGTAAACTTAATTAGTAAATGACAATGATTAAAGTAAAATGTTTCAAGTAGGATTATTTAGAAATAAGACAATGAAATTAACACTGACAACTTGTTTAGTCTGTGATGAAGCTTCCATGGAGATGTTTTGAGACTGTAGCTGGCCATGCCGACTAAACTGAGGAAATAACAGAGTTTGGTTGCTTATATAAAAACACGCAAATGAAAGCAATAGAAAACCGAAATGTCACAAACCCTATTTTCATACTCTGTGACAGTTCACCTTTAGATGCATGAGCTCAAGAACACTATATCCCCCCTTTCTTAAACAAATAACATTTCCCTGCTTGTGTGTACCTTTTTTATTTTATTTTATAAGATTTATTCTTCATTTCCCCCCCCAGACACTGAACAGTGGTATATTGTCATAAGCATAGTTTGTTAGAATAGCTGCTGGCTAAGACATAGAGAAACACGGTTACTGCATGAGTTGGATTCCATCATCTTACATGTGCAAATTCACACTGTGGAAGGAAGGAGAGAGGAAAACATGATGAACAGGTGTTTGTGCAGACAGATGAGACAGGAAGAGCAGATGAGTGGGGAGAGTTAACAAGGAGAAGAGGAGGGAATGTTGCTTTATTGTGCAGCAGCTCATCAAAAACTCTCATTCCTACATTCCCACCACTTCATCTCTGTGTCTTTCAAAAGACTGAAATACAGCCAGGAGGTACAGTGAGGCATGGCAGTAGGCTGGGAGAGCGAGGAGACATATCAGCCTTCTAATCAAACACGGCATCACTGCTCAGTATTGATGCATAGTTCACAAGGTGACTCGTTCTCAGAAGTAATGGAGCAAAATCGCTGGAAAGAATCCAGTGAAATACAAAAGGGACGCTCCAGTTTTATGTTTTGATCGATGTCCTCTGGTGTGCTGATGTGTTGGAAAGTAAGATGCTGTGGTTTCTTTTCTGGCTCACTGTCCCGATCACTCTCTGCTTCACTGTATCACAAGGACATTGTAGCTACACGCCGAGTTCAGCGTAGATCACTTTAAGGTCCACGACCCTCAAATTGTTAAACGGCTTGTAAGCCGACACTGGTGAAGTTAAAACAAACACTAATCTTGTAAGGGTTTAATTTCAGTGTTTTAATATCATCTGACAACTGAGAAGGGTCACTGGCTGTTAAATGTTTTGGACATGGCGTTACCATGGAGACGTAGCCACACCGCCGTTCAGCATTTGTGATTTCCTTTTCTTTTGATCCAGGCAGCGCTTGAGGGCTAGGAGTGTTGGCGTGAATAGTTTGCATAAGTGCGTGTGTATGAATATTTCATTTCTTTGTGTTTTTAGCTATGGAGGTGCAACATTATGGGGACTGGTTGGTTGACTTAGTCTTAAAACTAGTTTGAACACACACATGGACTCATTTATGCAAACACACATGCATTACAAACAGGAAGCTGACTGCTGCTACTTTGAGTCTCCAGAGTCTCTTATTAGTCTGGGTAATTTCACATCATTTAACAGAGAATTAATTCATAAATTAATCAGCAGAGCCTCAGAAAATAACATCACAAGCCTCCGTTATACCAACATGTAATCCCATTTAGACCTAGCATTAAAATCCCCATTACAGACAGAACGCCATTAGCCATAATCTCTGCCTGGTTCAGAAGAGACAGTGTGAAGCCACTACTGAAAACTTCCTGCATCAAACTTAAAACCTGGAAGCCACCTTAAGACTGAACTGGTGTAGCTGGGCCCCCCTACAGCTGGCTTTGGATTAAGACAGTCACATCTAAACCAAGGCACTTTGTACAAATCACATCTCTAATCCTGTTTGGGAGTTTTCAGTGTGCCCTGCAGCTTCATTTCAATAATGTCACTGTGACTTACTCCTGTGCTGGGATTTTAAAGACAGGTGTGAGTGGGGAACATTCGCAGTACCAGTGTAGATCTTTAAAAAAATAAGCCACACAACTGATACAGCAACAGAATACATTTTTCACTTTGGTGCAACACCTGACATGTCTGTAAATCTGTGTCCCTGTAGGCCTCAAATTGTGCCACGTGCTTTTTGTGCTTCTCTTATTGTGAAAATATCTGATTATCTAAAACAATGTAGAAAATCCTGTGATTTCTTTCCTTCGGTCCCTGTGTGCTTTGTGCTCTTTCTCCAAGAACCACTTTTATTTATTTCACATTTGAAGACAAATCTAAATGCCAGCAGTGATTGCACATTCCCAGAATGCACTGTGACTAGTGTCAGAGATTGATAATGTCTTGTAAAGGCGAGCACGCTAAAAAATGAACAAAGGATTTGTTGATGTATCCTAAAGTTGACCCTCCTTTGTCTGAGCCCTGCTGATGAAAAACATTTAGTCACCTACTCAGGTTTAATACATCAGGCAACATTCACAGCATAGAAATCATCACATTTAAGACTAGTGTTAGCCTAACGGAATGTATCACAATACAAATATAATATTCTATTTTCCAGAAGTTGGCAGGACATTAGCAAATCTCAGATGGTTTTTGTCCTCAAAATAACACTTGGGGAAGAACAGACTTTGATAAGAGGGACAATTCAATAAGGAATTCCCATCAATTTAATACATTATTTAGGGTTGTTGCATCATCAGGTGTCTGGATGTGTAACCAAACTGAATATGTGTAAATTAGGGGCCAAAGTGTCCGGCAGTTCAGCTTCAGAATAGAGTTGGTTTTTTTTAGGATTCCTGTTTTTCTGCGTCCTCCTGTTTGAAACCCCTCACCCCACCCATTCCTCCACCTCTCACCACCGTCTGGAATCAGATTGTCTAGCTCCCCCTTCCTTCCGCCCTCTTACTCTACTCCTCGATTTCCAGTATCAGGTCATCTCCCTCCAGGGAGGAGTCGGCCGTGACATGGACCGCTTTAACAGTCCCGGACACTGGACAGTTGACCACAGTCTCCATCTTCATGGCTGAGAGGACACACAGCGGCTGATTCTTCTCCACCTTTCACGACAAAGATAGTTGTACAAATCACCGAATAGTCACTGTAGTACAAGGTTCACATGAAAAGTACACTCAACACATAGGACATAAAGGCTTTTTTTTTTTAAACAAACAACTGCAAGCACACTTAAAAACTCCCATGTTCGATGCAAGAACTTAAAATACTGACTGAAAATGGAAAAATCAGGAATTGACTTGGAAACTAATCAAACAATACATGAATGAGCTTACATAAAACCACTTGGAGGTCTAGATCTACTAGAGTTAAGAAAGAAAATACACACTGTGGTGGAGTCTGTTAACTAAAAACTCACAAACAAGACAAATGGTCTTTCTGGGTTTATTCACACTTGCCCAGGCTGGCACCCCGAGCGTCAACAAGCAGAGCCGTCGCCGGCTGAGAGCCCTGAGCTCTTTTCTTTGTCTATTTTTATGCCTTTGCTCGAGTGTCCTTGAGATGCGCAGAGCTCATAACCCCTCACACAGTCTGTTGCCAAGCAGATATTAGGCAAATAGTCATACAGATTTGTGTTATCAGATCATTCTGAAGACATATCAGTGCTGTATTCCCAGGGGAGGAAAAGACAAAACAAGCACAGGGGGAGGTTCTGTGCCAAGGCTTTCACCTTGACATCAACATAGTAAACAGTTATACTGTATTAATACTGTAATAAATATGTAAAGTCATGTGGACTGTATTTTTATGGAAAGTATGTGAGGGTTATTTTTTTCCCCTCCACATAAACTGCCTTCTTTTACAAGATTCTTTAACCCAAGGTAATCAAATCTGATAACTGAAATGTTGAGAACAAAGCGGACAAGTGGATTAACAAACTAACCTTGGAGCCGACTTTCACTTTGACCTCCAGGACTTTTCCAGGCATGGGAGCCCCCACCTGGCCCTTGATAGACTTCTGAGCCTTGGGATGGAACTTCATTTCCTGGGTGGAGGGACAGGGAGATGTCACGCATCGTCTGTCCACTCAATCATCCCCTCACCCCCTGCCTCCATTTATCCATCATCCATCCATATAGCCATTCAAACAGCCAGCCAAACTTTCCTCCCTGCTGAGCTTCCATCTACCCCTCACAGCCATTTGTTTCTATGAATAAAAATCACCCATGATCACCAATTGTGCTGTCATAAAATCAGTTTAACATAGGCATATCACACAAAAACCTTCCTCCCACCTCTTCTAGTCAGCTGTTTAATTCACCTGTCCTGAGATCTATCTATCCATCTACCAACCCATACCCCTCTTCATTGATCCATTCCCCCTTCCTCTGCCACTATATATCCATATCTCCCTCTGTCAACCATCACCTATCCCTACATCACCTCCTTCCATCCATCCCCTCTATGTACCTTCATGGCAACAGTGTCTTTAACCAGCACAGATCTCAGCTGTCCATTCAGCTCAAAGAAGACTTCTCTCTGGCCGGCCTTGTTCAGGTCACCCAGCGCCAGCGCCTTGATGTGGAGGGTCTTCCCTCTCTCCAGCTCCACCTGGGAACGAAGCCACAGAGTAGAGGAGGAGCAGGGTAAGAGGGGAGGAACAGGTGCAGAAATTGTGTTTGAAATTGAAATGAATACATGGATGCTCAGTTCACAAGCCCACAGCTAAAGCAATAAAAACTGAATGCAGAGCTTGGTGAAAAAAAAAAAAAGTCAAGCTAGTGGAGTGAGATGAGCAATGTTTCCTTCTCCGTCACTATAGGACGCAGTGTTTCCCAGCAAGCACTGTGTTGGAAGACAAGGAAACATGGAGAGGTTACCAATTCATGAAGGAACTCAATTAGCCTCACTTCATGTAAATGGCTTAATAAATCAATCAAGTAATGCACCATTTTACGCTTGTTTTTAACTCAGTCTGAAACCCAAATGAACCTTATGGGACAATAATGTTTTGAATAAGAAATGTTGCAGCTCCTCAATAGTCACTTTTCACAGCAGACACGGTGGCTTAGTAGAAATAGCACAGATATTACTAATAAACTTCCCTGTAAACCAGCAAGCACAATATCAGGACACTGGAATTCAACCATCATTGTTATTTACACCTGTAAACTGTAAGGAAAAAGGCCTATAGGGTCCTGTCATAACAGAACCAACAATAATCAGAGATTGCTCCTGAAATATTTAGTCACTGATAAATGATTCAACCATAACTGTGTTCAGTTCATGTGGACTGGATCAAATCATTTCAAACCTTCATTTACTTTTTAATGGCAACCTCCAAAGAGAGTGTGGCCCCAGGGAAAAAAAACCCCCCCCCCCCCCTTTTTTTGAATGCTTCTGGAAATGATCTTCCAGTAATACAGAATTCCATTTACAGTCATTGCTCGCAAGCTTTCTCACAACCCGCAGGCAGAATTAATGCAAGTTTGGCCTTTGAATATGCGTCTAATATTGCAGAATCCTCCGGTTGGTCTATTTTACTTTTCCACCACAAACACACGGCATTAGTGTCGGCTTGGGAGCAAACAGAGAAGCTTCTTTTCAGGCAGTTTCAGTCTGGAAGTTCATTTAACCTATATTTTACCAGGGAAAACCCAATGAGGCTAGAAACCTCACTCTCAATGGCGCCCTGGCCAAAACAACACCATGTAAAAAAACATAATGACAAAAGCATTATATGTAAAGTCAGAAAATAAAAACTGAGATATTAAAGGATAAGGTCAACAATTTTCTATATTAACAGTATTTTAAACAACAACAGGCATGGACAGTAAAGGACTTATTCATCAGTGCAGTTCCAACAAATTTACATTTTGACAATCTTCAGGTTGAGTAGATGGTTCAAACAAACTGAACTAAGTTTAGATGTGAAGACAACACCAAAGCACAACTGTTTTAGCCATTTATCGATTAAAAACACCAAACTTCAACCTGAGATATAAGCTCTACATGAGACAAGATGGCAGACTAGAGGATGTGAAGCATTTCCCCAGCCAGTGTGACGTTACCTGCCACCTGTAGAAGTTGTGTTTCAGTACAAAGACATCCTATTCCTCTCTTTCTACAGCAAACCGGCTCGTCCCTCTTCATATCAATTCTGGTCACCGTTGCATTCTGTCTCGCTGGACTTTCCCTTGACGCTGGCCGCTGTACTTCTTCATTTATCTCACGCCTCTTCCTAAATCTCGTCTCAGTGGTTGGAAACTAATTTTTTTCTGTCTTTCCATTTCTCCAACTTTTCTCTCTGGCTTTTCAATCTCTGTCAGTTCTCCCGTGTGTGAAAGCTTTCCATTTTGTATTATTTTTTTGCTGCCTATTTCTGGGGCCACTCTGTCTTTCATTCCATTATTAATTTGCCTGTTTTGGCTCCTTTTATCTATTGTCCGTCTCTCCTGTGCTCTGTCTACCCACCGCTTTGTCTCAAGCCTTCCCCCTGTAATCATTTTTGTTTCTCACATTGACATCTCAGCTGCTGAGCCTCCACTGATATTCCAAACTAAGAGTCAGAGGAAAGACAAAAATACAAGCTGCTGCAGGTATGTATTGATCTCGGTTTCATTCCGTCTCTGTTTCTGTGGGCGCTCTGACTCTTCATCTGTTTCCCTCACTCTGGATCTGGTAACAAAACTTTCCTTTGCATGTTTTCGCTCTCTCCTCAGCACTCCGTCTTCATCTCTCTCCACCTTTCTTTACATCGAATTTCTCTGCAGCTTATGCTGTTTTGTCACGCTCTTGGCAGCTCTTTGCAAAAAAACAAAACACCACAAAACAAAACTGTCTTTCCTTTTCCAACTGTGTGGCTTCTACACTACATTTCCTCTGCTCATGAAAAATATACTACATCTCAGGAAGGATTGTGTATCATGTTGGTCTATACTACAGAGATAAAAATACATGTTGAGTGTGCTGTGTTGATACCTGAAACAGACATATTTATTGCCAATGAGCGGGATCCTCATTTATGACCATAGATATTTCACCGCCAGCTGATATTTAGATTTTTTTTGCAGCTGCTAAAGCTCTACCACTTCCTTTGTTTATTGCATTGGCTGATAAGAGTATTAAAAGCACTCTTGCATGCTGCCTTTTTAAGTTTACACAATTGCCCCCCTTTTTTTTTATTGTGAATACACTATGTAATTAATACCTGCTGAGAACTGTTATGTAGCATGGCATTTGGACACAGCTCCAGTTGTTTACCAGAGAAACTGACATGTCTGAGTGTCAGAAACCCTCCAAAATGTGTGCATAGTTAAGTCAACAGCATAACTGAAATGCAATGTTTGTGGTAAAGTACTGACAGCGAAGATGGGGGATTACATGCTTCTCATGTAAACATCTTTATTGTCCCTAGACCATCAAACACACTAAATAAATGGATTCAAAGCTGCTAAAATTCCATCAAACCCAAGATAACCTTCCAGCCTCCTCCTGTTTCGCTTCTTATTACCATACTTACAATAGGGTCTCTTGCAATGTATCTAATGTATTCTCATCCACACTGGCCTCACATAAGCCTGTGGCCTCTTGTTTATGCAGTTAGTTCCTTGAATTAGATTTTTTTAAATGTCAAATTCAACCTTTTATCCATTTAGAGCCACAGTCTCTTTGACTGAAACTAGTCTGACTTTATTAATGACTTGAGTGGTCTGTGACAGAGTCATGCGATTACGGCGCTGAACACGCCTCCATGTGTTGTGTCTGAGCACATTAGCACTGTCAGGAGATTGTATGACTGGGTATACGTTTGTGAAAATTGGTTTATAATTCCATCAAACACGATTAATACCATTGTGACTCATAAGCATAAGTCAGAAAAGTCAATGTTGTTCTTCTGTTTGTGCTGTCTAGATGTGTGGGTGAATGACAGCAGAACTGTCACCCTTGAGTGGGTGTACAGTATGTATGTGTACATGAATGCACTCTAAATAGCCCATACCGGTCATATGATCTTTAGAGAGCAATTTCAGAAACAGGTGCAAGTGTAGTGGCTATGTCCTCCCACCACATTTAGCAAACAGAAGAATCTTCTTAGCTTGCTGTTCACTCGCTGGCTGATAAGGCCCTTATACTGTATTTGCAAAAGGCTTGAAATGAAGAACTAAACAATAGCGAATGGCTACTGTGAAAGCCTTTATATCTCCTTCCCACAGCATCAGCTTTATGTCTAGCTCAGCGCCCAGAAAGATTAGGTGCTTAAATCTGTTTTGATCAAGATTTCCACTATGTGCTTCACACAGTAGCTGCCAAGAGCTCATAAATAGAATACGTCTCAAATATACAGCTAATAGTGTAGTTGCACAAGTACTGCAAGAGTCATCTGTAATGAGCAACTTGCTGTATTCTGCTCCTACAGTAACACTGTGGATTTACTGCGGATATACTTGGTGTTAGGGTTGTGTTGATTGGTGATCAGATCAATTATCAATGACCGAAGACACAATTGCAGATGCTCTGTGTACTCCGTTTGTCTGCTCCTCTAAATACCAGGTCTGTTCCTTACAGACCTGCATCTCTAGCTGAAGCCTGAAAGCCACTTTAGAATACAGCCTACAGTAAATGCATGTATACACACATGAATCCAGACCCAGACAAAGATGGAGGGAGAAATTCCTGTTCAGGAGAACCAAGCCATTGCTACAGACAAACTTACAATTTTATGATCACTACACTGTCTGATATAATGAACCTAAAATACAGGTTGATGACAGCAGCTGTGCTGTGAGATCAATCATATTGACATTTCAAATGTGTGATGAGACAGTAAGAAAGATGAAATAAGGAACCCCTCACCCCTGTCCCATACAATTGCAGAAAATAAATCTGAACGGTCGCAGCAGCTGCCATTCACTTGGCAGACAGTGCCTCTAATATCTTTTAACACCCAAATCGTCTTGGGGATCACATATTCAGACCTTGTGTCTCCAGCAACTCGATTTCTCAAGTGATGTCTATGTTTTTGCATTTTCAGCTCATTTTTGAGCATTTCATGTAGTTTAACACCTCTATTACAGTGTCAACAAAGCAAAACATTATAGGCATCGTACCTTATAGCAGACTTTATGGTAAGACTGTTGTACTGGATCCCATTAGATTCTGACCTGAGCCTACTTTCATAAAGAGCGCTAGTAAAAATGAACTGATGAGAAATGACAACAGTGAGATCATTGGTTCTAAATACAAGAACCACCGTGGAATTCTTCAGAGTAAAAGAAACAAAACTAAGAAACCTTCTTCTGCTTGTGGCAGGTCATTTTGACATATTGTCATTCTATTTCTTGCCCCATACCGCCAATTGGAGCTGATCTAGGGGGGAGTTCCTATCGCTGTGACAACGAGGGGAGGTTTGTCTCTGTGGAGATGACTGATGTTGAGCACAAATCATTCTAAAAATGACAACAATTCTGACAGATCTCAGATTAGATAAACGGAAGGAAGGGGATGTGAATACTGATTTAAGAATAACAGTTTGGCATTTGGAAAAAGTTTGAATGAGCCACTGAAAGCCAGGATAAACAAGTTCTTTCACAGGCAAGCTGGAACGTGGATATTAAATCTTTCTTTCCTACTCTACAGCTGCAGCTTTTGTTAGTCGTTTTGTTGTAGGAATCTGAAACATCGCATCACTCACCAAACTGTGGCTTCAAAACAAATTAATGTACTCAAAATCTAAAGGAGTCTATCAAAATCCTTTAAAGATTTACTCTTACCCGTGGTCGGTGGTCTAACTGTGGGTCTTGTTCCAGATCTCTAACTTACTGCACCCCCTGAGGTTATTGATAAGAAAGGAGGGTGGGAGGTCTGCCCGGTCTTTAGGGTCAATACTAGATCAGCACAATCAATGCAGCTCCTGATTCTTTGATAATAATAATACAGCAGCAGAGTAATGGTGCTCCCCATGACCCCTGTAATATAAAAATCAATTAACAGCAGTCTGGAACCTTTTTGCTGCAGTGAAGTGGAGCAGTAATTAAACATGGTTGACTTTAGCTGCTCTGAATCACTGTTAGACAAATCTGCACGTGTGTTTCTCATGAGAGAATCAAAGGAAAATATTCCTAAGAGCAAAGGAGATGGATATTTATAATGAGTAATGTCGGATAGGGCTTTACTGGGACTACAACTAATGCTGGTTGGTACATGAGCCTGACTGATGCAGAGTCTAGACAAGGAGCCTGGTGCAAATGGTGAAAGGTAGCAGGTGGCTGAAGGGAATGTATACTCCTTTTCATTATGTCGTGGAAATGATTATTTCATCAATGCGCAGATAAACCTTCTGAAAGACATTTCACCTGAGCTTTGGTAACAATGTTCAAGATATATAAAAGCTGAAAGAAGAATGGAGTGATGGCTCTACTGTCCACGTTTTCTTTTAATACGAAACTTCACAAAATGTTAAATGTCTGTCAAAAAGTGGATTTTAAAACACCTGGGAAAAAAGTGAAGTTTCTCTGTTTGAGACAGATGTTTAAAAAAAAGATCCTATATGTACATTTTTGTCTAAAAAGGCTCAGGTACTGACGATACATGAACTCTGCCACAAAGCAGAAATACACCAGCAGTCGGCTGTACGCACGCATCACTTCAGCATAAACACTGAGGGGTTCTGGCCTTTCCAGAAAAGAAAACAGTTTCAGCTACTTTACTTGCTTACAGTGTATACAGCATGCCTTTAAAGGTGGGAAATCAATTCCAGGGTGAATTATTATCTAAAGAATGAAGCAGGGTTTCCTGCATTTAAATAAATAGCAACTTTCTATGTAAATGCTTCAATTTACAGAGAAATTCTGTTTTTTACTGCAGATGAATAACATCAGTAGTTTGCTACAATGGCAGAGCGCCATAGGGATGATGCATTTTTATAGGTTAGCATCACCGTGGTTCCCTTGACAAAAAGCTGATGGGATTTTTCTATAGGTTTTTGGATTATTGTGGAAAATAAGATCTGTGACAAAAACATTTTTTTCAGCAACATAATCTTCACAAGTGAACACCACTTTTATCATTTTTGAAGTCTACATACAATCGAAGAGAGAAAATCTATTGTTAGGCTATGAACAAGCTACACCACGGTTGCATGACTTCAGCATCACAGCTTCCAACTTGTAATTTATTTACTTGCCTCTTCTACAAACACCTTTCCTCTTAGCATGACCTGATCTAGCCAGTGATCATGGCTGGGTCAGTTAGAGTAGTTTACAAGTGCAGGAGTATAAACAATAAGGGAATAAAGGCAGACAACTGAGTAGCTGAGTCTCCATGTTAGGTGGGATGACGTTCAACGCCCCCGACAACGTCTGCAGTCTCATTTAGCCACTTGTTTTAAAACATGTAACAGCATTAAACTTAATGTTATTTATGCCATAGAACAAAAAGTGTAGGCCTTGTGTTAACCACATACCTTATTTCACATATCTAACCAAAAACCCTTTCAAAAACCTTGGGCCAAAGGAACCAGAAGCGCAAAAATAACTCCAGGTTTTTTTTTACGGTCTTTTTGAGACAGGTGTGTGAAATATACATGTATACAGACGTGGCTAGAAGTGTTGAAGAAGACAAAAGACTTTTCTCTGAAATAACTGGCATCCTGTGTTCGCCCTCCCAAATGAGTGTCAGCTCTTTCCATAGATGTTCAACTAGCCCAAATTCAGAGCTTCAGAATGGTCCAGTTGTTTCTTCTCATCCATTCTTGGTGCTTTCAGGCGCATGTTTTAGGTCATTATAATTCTACTGAAAGCACCATGTGCTGTGACTATCTCCACAGACAAATCTCCTCTCTTCTTTCTTCTATCCACGTCCAGTGTGGTGCACACAGTGTTATTAAACAGCACTTTTCAGGAAGGATGGAGTATCGTTTCAGTGAGCTGTCAGGGTGCCAACACTTTTAGCCAGGCCTATATGTGTAATGTTTTAGTTTATTTGAAAGGAGGCCTAGATATACACTGTTGTACTAGTGTCACATTCCCCGAGTCTCTACAACAGAGGGGAAAAAGTCTGATCTTCAGCAAACACCAAAGGTAATAAAACAGTCCAATAACTTCCATTCCTCAAGGTAAAAAAAACAAAAACGAATTCGATTCCCTAAACTACTTTATTACACAGCATAATTACCTTTAACACAGTTTTATAAGATGTCTCCCATTACCATTTCTCATCAAGACTCCAGTCGTTCACCATCCTCTCCCCGTATTACTGTGCACACTCACATCCTGCAGTACGGGGGCACAATTTTCCCATTCACACCACCACCTGCTTCTCAAGTGCACAGCCAAAAATACTACACAAAGTCGCAACAGTGCCGCAGTCCAAAACGTCAGAGCCATCATCTTTGACCTGTCTCACCTCCTGGTTCGACTGCTACAAACTGCTGCCATCTGGTTATCTGGCAAATGTGCCAAGTTTGAAAAAGAAAAGTCCTCACAGCTTCACTGCTCCAACAGCATGTTCAACAACTGGACTGCTTTTCTCAACTAGTTTCTCAGACTAGTGAGTATTTTACTGTGCCCGTGTTGTGGTGTTTGAGTTCACACCTCAGACAAATAAAGCCAAGGGAATGCCCACATGCTTCATTACGGGCCTTATGATTCTCTAAATCTGTGTCATTGTAAAGAAAATCCTCCCTATAACCTAATGTAGATGTTAATAAGGTAGAATGTGGTACAGCCATTAAAACAATGTATGTGTTCTGTGTGATAAACTGAGTGACAGGCTTATTGTGATTCAGCAGCAAAGCAAAGCTCGTCTTTGATCTGACATTTGTCGCAAAGGCTACCGTCACTAGTTTCAACAGTCTCTTTGAAATTCACTCTCTAACCTACAATGGAACCATCACTTTAGTTTAAATCTTGCTCATCAAAGTAGTAACTGCTGTCATTCTCCTGAAATGCTCTGTATGAATCTTCAAACCTGCTGTCTCTTGTTCTGAGAGGAGCTTTCAATCAACGCAGCAGACGTCTGGAAATATTTTGGCTGACCGTATTTTCATGTTTGTTGAAACCAAGTTCCAACCTGCCGACTCTGCTCATGTAACCTATTGGAGTTGACAGGAAATGGTTTCTTATTTAGAAGTCAATACTCTCCGGGAAGGTTTCTGTTTCTAATTTGTTTGCATGCAAGGCAATTCAACTCTTTCTAATTCCTGCACTGGACTGCATGTTCAGTTGCCTCCCTCTTGGAGGCTTTACAAATGTCTAAGCTGCACTGTGGTATGAGATAGTGGCCCTCAGTGCCTTTCAGTGGCTCCCTTCCAAACGTTATATAACACAATTAATCAGTTATTTCTGTGCAGGAAGGCCAATTTGATGGCTAGAGGGATCAGAAATGCTGTTTGCTGTATTTTTGGTGGAGTGGTAATATCTCTGTCCTCCCCACCGTATTATCAGCACTTCACTGTGGCTTTACACCAAACTACATCAAACCCTGGCCATCTGCAGTGACAGGTAATGCTGATAATATCTGGTCTTTATTTAACTGTTATAACACCAGAATGAACTAAAGAGCTAAATTCATTATTAAATGAATGAATGACTATTAATATTAAATGCATTATCACAGCATTAGTGAATTAGGTGTCATGTTATACCGGTATTGATAACTGTGATATTAAAAAAAATAAAACATTGACATGATGTTAATATCACACTTATGACAATATCTGGAGCCAGTGACTATCTGGTTGACACTCCAACTCAATAGGTGGCGGTACTGCACTTTAATGCTGGTTACCACCCAATGGGTAGAAAAAGAAGAAGAAGACCACCATCACACAGTAACTAGCTATGCAGCGTTGCATGTTATATCCTACCAGGCAGTATAGAGAATAAAGTTAATGATGAATTTGAGTGATAGCATTATTCTGTTTTTATCAAAATTTCTGTAGCTATCGTGATAATAAAACTACAAATAAATCTAGAGTGTTAAGTTGTGTACCTCAAACTCCTCGGCGATCTTGGGGCCATCCAGAAACAGCCTGGTGCTGAGACAGTCCACTGGGCCAAAGTTAGCTGGAAAAAGACATGACAGCAATATCGAAGGAACTATTCAGTGACTATGATTTTAAATCTTGTTGACAGTGTAAAATAACCAGAACTGATCTACTATATGTATGGATTTGATATCAGAAATGGAGCTGAATGCTGAGTTCATGTTCAGGGGTGTTTTCAGGCTTCAGCTTAGGTGGTGTAGGAAGTAAATAAAACCCCTCACAAAGGGGACTAACACTTTAATGCTAACATTTCTTTAATCCTCAAAGCAATAATTAGGCCTGCATTAATGCAGGCAGCTGAATGATACCCTGGCTGCTTTAAATCACTCCCACTCAAGTCCAGTTCCTCTGGCCAGCATCCTATAACCACTGTCCACCATCACAGCACATGCTGAAGTATCTCTCTCTAGTTTGCTTCTGAATGACAGGTGACTGCTGGATTCTGTGTTAGAACCTCCTTTAGGGTTCAACTGTACTCTTCCCAGAATTTGAAGCATGTGTTTGGTCTCCTGTGTATAAAACACCTGAGAAGCCAAATCTAAAAATTTAAAACATTTCTGCACAATGGCTGATCTTGACTTAAGATCGATTGGTGCTAATTTCAAGCCCCAGTAACACGACTAATGAGAATGAAGGAACTTGCATATTAGAGAGCAAATGCCATGGAGCCAGACTTGTTTGACATACCAAATCCAATTTGATTAAATATACATTAATCAACCAATAACTCAAGTTCCAAATAAAACAATTTACCACCAGTACATGAATAAAAACATCAGATCTGCCTACTCACAAGTGAATTCTTTGAATTCCTGGAACACCTTGGGGTACATGGCTGCTGACATCACATCCTCAGGGGTGATATCGTCACCGTGCGCAGCACGGAGGCCCTCCTCCAGGGCCTTGAAGTCCAAAGGTGGCAGAGAGGCACCAGGGCGACCCTCAATACGGGGGAGGGACTTCAGCACCTAGGAGAGGATGTTAGAAGATCAGAGTATGAAAGGAGAGGAGACAGGAGAAGATAAATGATGTGCAGGTATACAACAAAAAAGAGAAAGAAGAGTGATTATGAAAAGTTTTTATTTGAAGTCATAATCTTTTGCAATGTTTTCCCACTTGTAACACCCCTATGGGACTTGTGTGGGCTGCAGATGTAAAACCTTCACAATGTACATCACAAATATACACCTCGATAAAAGCTGCAACCTGTCACAGCATTTAAGTGACACAGAGACTTGGGGTGAGAGGAGGAGGAAGACAGAGGTTCACAGGGAGCTCTTTGGATGGAGAGAAACACTTGAATCGGAGAGAATATACAACCTGTTAATGCATGTTATTTTGAAATTTGCATAAAAGTGGCGCCACTGTTGTGTCAAGATCTGCAGTGATTTCCACTTTAGTTCCCTCCATCTCTCCCACTCTGTTAATTTTTCTCTCCAGTAAAGTATCATCAGCCCAGCAGATGACTGCAGTGGTAGCACATGCTGTATGCGACACATCATCTGTGGTCTTTCATAGAAATAGTCAAGACGAAAGACTGAAAGAACGAGGATAACTGCTGAAAGGGGCGGCTGTTAAATTAATGATATGAAAATAATTAGAATAATGATACAACATTTTATCTACCCCCACAGTTGTTGTTAGCTGACACAATTTGTGGAGACAATCCATCTGAGGTTACTAATGTCTAGTGAAGAGATTATGCCAAGACCCGGGCATTTGGAGTCTGCTGTTGAGTTTATATTTTCAGGCTTATGTTCTTGATGTCAGAGTCTATAGATGCTCAAGGGGAAGGATGCAAAGGTGCTGGATCTTCATAAAATTAGACTATTTAGCCTGCCTCTGTAAATGATTCTTGAGAATGTACTGTGTGTAGGTCACTGTTTATCTTGGCTTCATTCAGGTTACAACAATCATCGCCTAGGCTAATATGCTAATTGGTAACCTTTAGATGTGCTTCACCAATTACACTGATTGAGTCTCCTGTGTGCATACATACAGTGCATATACAGTATATGCATATATCCATGTTATGTTTGTGAATGTGTGTGCTGGTGTATTCTAGTCAGTGTGTGTTTCCTATCTTCACTAGTCTTTTGTGTATGTGTTACATATTGGCACAGTGATTCATGCACGTGTGTGCGTCTTGCGGGAATCTCCAAACAAAGGGCCCAGTACGATGCTGTTAGTCACAGAGCTAACAGTTTGAAGACAGCTGACTCATGTGTGCGTGTGTGAGAGACACTTCAAAGACGGCAGGCTCACTGAGGCCCTGCTCATTAATGTTTTGTCCTCGGAGGACATCTTAGGCCCTGTTCAGACTGAGTTTCAAAGGTGTGAAAAAACACCTAAACTGCCAGATCGTTTGAGACACAGATAGTGACCGGTTGTGGGTGTGAGGGTCTGCATTTTACAAATGACTGGAAGAAAGTCTGTTTGCTCTTTCTCCTCATTTCTCTTAAAACCACACAACAACAACACTCCCACTTTCTCTTTGTTATTGTCAACAATTGTTTTCCTGTGTTGCTCTGAGAGATGGTGCAGTATTTTTTTCACAATAATCTTATTTCTTGAATTCACTTTCTTTCTGATGGCCTCATTTTTTTCCTCCACAACAATCCACCTCCGCCCCCAACACCATCTCCCCCTTTCTCTTCTTCCTCTCTCCTGTCTGTTCTATTTGTCTACCCATGCCAAAATGATCAACAGTATGACAGAACTAAGTTGGGGAAATGCCTCAATTAACATTTTGTGTATTGACAAATTTAGGCTTTGCTACACATTTGTGTCAGTCTGTGCATCTGAAAGGAATACATGTAAGAGCAAGCTCTATTAAAGAAATGTGCCATGCCAACATATCCTCAGCTACCACACATAGGGATGCAGATCTCACATGCAGTGAAGTAACTGTAAATAATGACCAAATTCCTGCCTCCACTCAGTGACTGTCACGAGGCAAACAAACACTACTAACACAGCTCAGTCTGTTTATGGAAATAACTCCATAAATAAAAGAATACTTTTTATTAAGTTACATAAATTTGGCACCAATTACTTGGACTTCAAATGTACCCCAAGATATGGTGTGAGCGACAGTAACATACAGTATATCAGATTTATCTCAAACTTGTAGCTTGCATGTAAACACAGGCACGCACAATAAGCATACAAGTGCAAACAGTGAAAGGAAATCACAAGCTGTACCAAAGCTGATTTTTGAACTGAATTGAATCAGAGGGATTGAGTGAGTTGGTTCTTCCGTAAACTGTGCATGAGAAAGCCTCCTGGTGTTTGTGCAATAAACATCGAGGGCGGATTGTCTCTTGTGCGCAGTCATTGTGTTGTCACAGTATGACTATCTGTAGGGGAGATTTAGGGGAATACTCCTGACTTTTTGACTGAGAGGAGAAACTGGCAGTACTTCACATATGGGATGAGGATTTATTTAGAACAGTGTAATGCAGACTACAGCTCTGGCACACTGTTTAAATGCTCAGTGAATGAAGCAGGTTGGCTGAGCCTCATGGAAAATATACTGTACAGCAACAAAATGTCGGAACGCAAATACTCCCTTCTATAGTACAGAAACAACAGAGGAAAATGTCAATAGGAAAACTTTTAACTTAAGCATTGTTAGATATTTTTAGTCAGATAGATATTGGATAGATACTTTATGTATTAGAAATGTTTAGTGGAGATAGGATGTCTAGTTAGACTGTTAAATGCTTAGGCCTGCTCATGAGTTTCTACAGGGTACATCTGGTCAAGGATAACTAGAGAGAAGAGTTGATGACTGTCAGCAGACAGGGTGTTTAATATTATTATTATGATGTGAATAACTGTAGCCTTAGCCATAATATGTTCTTATGTTTAAGTCACGACATGTTACTAGA